TGCCATATTTTCCGTATCTGTGAATCCATATAGACGCGTGGATTCTTTCATCGCGGCTTTGAACGCTAACCATTCCGCGGCCGAACCGTTAAAAATAGGCAAGTCCTGCGTCTGCTTCGCGGCAGCGGGCCTAACTCTGACCATATTCTCCAGAGCTTCCGCTAGTCGCTCTATACCCCTATCCTTTCCTCGCGGAGTAAGCGACCTATCTCTATCCCTATCTCTCTCTAGCCTACGCTGTGGCGCTGGCGTCCTATGCGCACCTACATCCCTATACGGCGACGATAATCTACGATCCGTGCGGCGATGTGGCGATGGCGATCTACGTACACCTACATCCCTATGCGGCGACGGTGATCTACGATCCGCGTGGCGATGTGGCGATCTATGTGTAGGCGATAGAGTGCGGCGTTGGACGCGCGACGGCGACGTAACCCGTACACGACGATCCACCTGGTTCATTCCTACGGCGACTCCATCTTCCCTCTGTACCGAATCTATGCGGCGCGGTTGAACGTTATTCGCTTCCGTCCTCCCCTGGGCATCTTCACTGTGGTCGTAACCGGTTACCCTGTTCGGTAGGGTCTGCTCTAACTCGATGCGGGGCGCGGGCTGAGAGGGGCGGGAAGGCGACTCCCCCCGCACAGTCTCTACGTTCTCTAACCACCTATCAACGCGTACACTATTTTCAACTAACTCGTCTTCGTTGACACTTTCCCTATCTGTTTCTTCTTGCAGTTGCGCGACGTCCCTAGCGTACTTCTTCCTAATAAGATCTTCTTCCAACTGCAATTGCTTCCTCCTAATTGCAGCTAGTTCCTCCGCGGCGTTATATTCAATTTGCTTTAATTTAGCTATCGCACTAGCCGTCGACCGGGCTGAACGAACGGAGCGAACCGACGGGGCGCGGGGCGCGGGCCTATGTACGTCTGTTACAGGCGCGACGGTACGTACTATCGAACTAATCTCTGTAGACGGAAGATCTTCTATAATCGCGGCGAGTGTCTCTGTACGCGGCGCGGAAATGCTAACCTCTCCCAAACGATCGGTCGTGGACACGGACATAGCGGGGCGCGGCGGCGGGAGCGCGGGCGCGGGCGGGGCCTGGAGCGCGGGCGCGGCGGAGGGCGCTTGTGCCATCGCGAGATAATCGGACGGGGACGCGGGTGCTTCTTCGAATATGCGCATTCCTACCGGCGTGTCATCATCGTTCCGTGTCTTCTGGCTTCGTGTCTTCCTCATGGTCCCACGTTGCGACCTCCGGTCGTCTTCAAAAAGACGTACGTACAGTCTTTAAAAGACATACGTATGGATGTCGTTCCCGCCACAAGGGCGTTACCAGATGGTCACAGTTTGGCACCGTTAGGGAGTGACCACTGGCCGCGTAAACGCGGTTAAGAAACAAGAAATTGTCTGGAAACAGACAATAGACGTGTATGACGTAGGCGTAACAAGAAACAGGGAAGAAATTAGTACCGACGATCTTCTCTCTTCGTCGACGAACTTCTTTCTTCCTTGAAGATCTTCTATAATAATCTTCTCTCTTCTGTAATTATGTTCTTTCTTCTATAATTACGTTCTTTCTTCTATAACTGCCTTCTTTCTTGTTTCTTCTTACTTCTTTCTTCTTTCTTCCTTCTTCTGGCTGCTATCCGGCGACGATGGACCAAGATAAAGTGGTTGGAGAGTAGTGGACTGTATTTATACTTTAACTGGCGGTGTGAGGTTAGCTATACTAGGGGACTGCTCGAAGAAAAGATGGTACTTTTAACTATACTATATTCACTATTTACAAAGGGTTCGGCACTATTAACTAAATCACTATAAGATTTGCGTAAAAAGATAATTACACGGACCTTAGTTAAGCTAATTAATTTTTACCTGATAGCGTCATGCTGCGGCTATATTAATAATATACTTGTAGCACGAGTTGATCGGCTCTCACAGAATACCAGCGTAGAATAGCAGCTTATTGTTGTGTTTCGCATGTGAGTGAAGAGAACCGAAGTCCATTTTCACTGGAAACGAGGTGTTCTATCTTAGGCCTCACGGGTGACAACGATGATAGATGTAGATGTCTATGGGTCACAGCAACTACTTTCCATCAGGTGGACTGTATGCTCGTGTGTCACCCTTATCCTGTAAAAATATTAAATTGGAGTCGTATGATGAAACCAATGTAGGATTCCATTGATCAATTTGAAGAGCGCAGAATTTCTTCTTTATTTTTAAAGAAGATATATTGTAGTGTTAATTTCGTAATAGTGAAGAATAGTTACTAAGATTAATTATATTATTTTTGAAATTATGTATAATTAGGGCTATGATGGATGCAAATCGAGACGTAGCAAAATAAACGGTAAAATAACAACATAATTATATACTGTGTGCACAGCCTCGTCTCTGTCTTGACTTGAGTTAGAGTGTGTAGTATGTAAACTTTAAAACGAAGAGGAACTTGGATAGCTAAACTTTACAGAGCCATATATAATGTATATTTCATACAAGTATTGATCGTTAAAAGTATTATTATTTAATAATATAATTTTTAAATGACGAAAAATGTCTGAGTATAATAGCCGTAGTATGGAATGGTTAATACCATTTACATTTATTACAAACGACCTCGGCGACAGCGCCACCTACCGTGTCCAATTGTGACTCTAACCATTCTCGAATCAACTTAATCACACACACAAAATTTTAGTCGAATTTGGTCCAGTCATTTAGGAGTTCAGTCATATACACACGCACAGAAGAATTATATAAAGATAAGCGAAATAATATTGACTCACTCATCAGGGGATCTCCAAAACTATATGCCGGATTGACTAGAAATTTGGCATTTATAATCTATCACGACGTGACATCTACTAAGGAAGGATTTTGGAAAATTCAACCTTAAAGATATTTAACATTAATACAATAATGCGTTGAGAATTATAATGAGTTTGCCTCGGTATTGTAGTGCCTCTGGCATGTTTGCAGAGGCACATGTTGATGGGTTTGAAGCCATAATGCGCAAAAGATGTGCCTCCATACTAAATCGCATGCGGACTAGCACCAACATCATCCTCAGTGTACTAGTAGACAGAAGGGATTCATCAATATTGGGGCGTTGGATAGATCGGCATACTGCACATTAGACACGCCACAACCTAGAGTCGTATTTTAATTTAAATTTTATTTACACAATGTTTATATTTATTAATTTTAAATTTACTTTCATGTAATAGGTGTTTAGATTAAACTTTTTTTACAAATATGGATAATTGGTCTGAAATAAATGAATTATTATTATTGTTATTTATTAATGTTAAAATAATCAAACAATAATAATGTTAATTTAAGAAAGTTAACTGTAAGTACTTAATATTATATGAATGATGTAATATTTCATTTTTATGCTACTTATGGCGGAAAATTTACATTTAAAGATGCTATTTTAAAGTATGCCAGCAATGCTATAAACCATAAATCTTCAAGCTCTCAAGAATATTACGAGCCACATTTTTCAGGACATACCTGTTTACGACGAGTGAATAGTAGCCGTATGCTATTGGATTATCCGGGTCTACAAGTCCTATAATGTGTGTCAACGTATCAAAGGGATTAACTTCGTTTCATTTCAGTTTATCTCATTATCCATTTACAGCGCAATGCTATAAATACGAATTAACTAACATTACATGACCCTGTTTGATTTTATTTCGAAGGATTATTTATCCATATAGTACACCCTACAAAAGTCCGCTGCTGGACGTAGGCAACCCACATAGATTGCCTCCTAAAGGGGATTTTGCCATAGTTGCCACCGTTGGCAGGCGGGTTGGCAACCGCAGTTTTTTATTATTTTGAGTTGTTATCGGGAATATGATGCTGCTCATCTGTTAATTCAGTTTATTCTGTCACCTCTTAAGACACCCACGGTACGATATGAGGTAGTGGATATTCTTACACCGCTTCTACAGCGTTAAAAGTAATCACAGTTGACACCTATGTCGTTTTTTAACATAAGCCGGAAATTGAAAAAAAAATAGCACACCTAAATAACATTTTAGGGAAGAATAACTCACTCAATTGTGGCAGGTAAAGGTATATATCACCCCATTTAGATTTGCGAGTGCCGTAGGTGAGAGACGAATATTGAAACGAAAAAGACCCTAGTAGGTGTGGGATATTTTTTTCTACGAGTACCTTGGATTCCTTCTGGGTTGGTACCACTATCTTACCTATATCTGCCACCTAGCAGCAGTACTGCTGTGTTCCGCTTTGAAGGATGTATACTGGTAAATTAGCTATATTTTTTTAATACTAGTAATGCTTTAAACATTACTAATATTCCCTTTAACCACTTCTGGTAGGCTTAAAATGCTTGTGTTAGAAGTGTTTCACGACAGTAGTCGAATGACTGATTCGAACCCACGACCTTTCGAGTTCGCGGTGCGCGCCCTGCCATTAGGCTACTGACGCTTCAAAAATTTCAGGTGATGCGTTCCATCTTAGTGCTCAGAAGTGACAATGTATTTGTAACCTGGGCAGCAATAGGCATTGACGATCAGGTGGACTGTTAACGCTTTTTTCAGCTACCAGCTAATAGCTGTTATATAAAATCCCGCTGCTAGATATGTGCCTCTTTGATTGGGAGTACCAAACGTATCGCACCTTTGACGCTGTTTTTCGTCGTTGTCTCGGAATCGGAAGCCATGCACGATCTTTCTTTCATTTTCCAAAGTCACCTCTTATCATACCTACAGGACAAAAAAGGGCGTTGGATGCCTTTACACTACGAATATGCAGCAAAATAATGACATTAAGAATGTATTTATTATAAGATTAATTTTACAGATTCAATCATGAATTTGTTACAAAAGAGCGTAGATATTTTTATAACGATTACGGTAAATACTAAAATGAAACTGTAGACATGAATTAAAGTATTATAGGAAAAAACGCAAAATCCTGTAAATACTTTGAGTTGATTCTAAAATATTTTTCAGGTTCGCGATATCGTTCAGCGCAGCTTTATCGATTACTTCGGAATTCTGCTATAAGGAAATCAGGGATAGAATGCTGCTATTAAGGTCTTCTTTTATGGCCGTTGCTCAGATACTTATCGCCGCTATGTCGTGGGGGATTCTTACACAAGACTGGGAGCTTAGCCTGTTTAATGGATTTATAGGTACGGTAAAATTTCTATTATGATTGCGTAGTAAAATAATCTATTAAAAATTCGCCCCATTTTTAAGTTTAGGAGACAATCAAGCTAACAGTACACATGATGATAAGTGTCTACTGCAGCATATGGACAACTGCAATCAACTTCTAATAAAAAAAAACTATAACTGTGTTGTCACTTACCTGTAATTACACTGACTCTCTTAAAATATTTCTAACAGAAAAAAACAGTGCTGTTTTGTGATAGAAACATTACGTTCCATCAAAAGTCTGGGTTTTTTAGGTCTGGAGTAAAAGATATGGCTATACCGCTATCATGAGATTTGTGTGGTATTTTCCATATTTACCTGTTACGAATTTACGATCTGTTTTACATAACGCATTAGTGCTTATCATTGCATGCTACTAGTTTGTGTACATTAAGATATAACTGATAAAAGTGTAGGTATACCTCAAAACTTGAAAACGATACTGTACACCCAGTGCGTGTTGCCAGTGATGACATACGGAACTGAGACGTGGTCCTTCACTGCTGGCCGGATGAGGAAGCTCAAGGTCGCTCAGCGAGCTATGGAGAGGGCTATGCTCGGAGTTTCTCGGCGTGATAAACTCAGAAATGAGGATATCCGCAGTAGAACTAGAGTGACCGACATAGCCCAACGGATTAGTAAGCTGAAGTGGCAATGGGCCGGCCATATAGCTCGAAGAACCGACAACCGATGGGGAAGAAAGGTTCTCGAGTGGCAGCCTCGTACCGGCAGGCGAAGTGTAGGGCGTCCCCCCACTAGATGGAGTGACGACCTGGTAAGATATGCAGGAAGTCGATGGATGCAGGTGGCTCAGGACCGTGCTTTGTGGCATTCTTTGGGGGAGGCCTATGTTCAGCAGTGGACTTGTGAAGGGCTGTAATGATGATGATGATGATAAAAGTGCACTTTTTAAAAATGATGTTGATAAAGTAATTATTTGATAATAATGTTTATATTTAATTATGTAATAGTTTTAATAATATTGTAATGGAAATATACATTTTTAAAGAAGCGGGAGCAAAAGAGCATGCGGCTCACTTGATGGTAACTGACTACCGCCACCCATGAACAACTACCAGGGGAATTGCAGGTACGTTGATAATCTTATTGGTTAATTGTATTGGTCCGGAAATTTTAGTGTGGTAACCGCTTCCACGAAGAAGTCTTGCAAGGAAGAATACTTCTTAAAAATGAATGGTAGTGGCCGGATTATATAGATGTAATAGGAATTTATCACGATGTGCAATGATGATATTTAATGACTGGCATTATTTTGAACAGTTCTTCTAAGTCTACGTATTCATATTATGAATATTCTACTGATACAGATGATAGACATAAAATTTGTCAATTGAAATTTTGAAAGACTTATTTATTTAAATTGACATTTAATGTAAAATTCAAATGATAAACAAACTTACAGTACACCTTAAGGTAAGTAGCTAATGTAGCCCAAAGACATTTGTAGAAATCTTCAAATAAAGAGGGCTAGACGGATTGCACATCAAAGACAACGCATGAAGGAAGACACCTTGTCACCACTGAGGGTTCTGTAAGAAGCTCTCGTACCCTCGTTCACTCTAGTATTAGTATGTATTCAAACTGCTTGTTTCCGCTTTACGTCATTCAATAGGTTATATCAGTTGCAAGTACAACTGCTATTATGTCATCTTGTATTTAGGAGTAGGACGTTAGGATAGAGAATTACGAGGGTGGTTCGTTTCTCACCGGCACCAATTTCGCCAAATTTGCAGTTTAGAGACTAGGGCAGCAAAGCCGACTAACAACAACCTAACCTTGTGCCTGCACCCGTGCACAGCAGGACGTTTGTAGGGTGAAGCATTTTACTAAGCGTTAATAATGATGCTATAATTTGTTTCTCAAAATAATTAATATCATGTTATGTTTGTAGATCTGCACGTATGGAATTTCTACATTTATATAATGTCCTTTTGGTCGTTAATTTCATTTATTTTGTACATTGCTTTACCTGAAAGTCCTCGGTACTATGTAGCTCAAAGGAAATTTGACGAAGCGAGGAAAATATTGATAAAAATGTATACAATGAATACTGGGAAGCCGGTAGAAACTTTTAAGGTGAGAGGTAAAGTTTTTTTTTTCATACTCTTTTCACTCACTCATGCACATTCATAGTGCTCTGATGCTATGAGACGGCAAGTCGACACAACCGGAGTGACATTAGGTGCAGGAACCACCACTTTACGTGCTTTCCAAGGCACGCTGATAAAATATAATCAATTTCCTGACTCCGGACTGCTGTTAAGATATGTTTCTTCATTTATTTACTTAAAAATTGCTTTTTTTTTAATTTTTATGCTTATTTATTTCGCCAAACTGCTAAATCATTCACTTGCTTTACATTATATCCTCTTGCTGTACTTTGTAACTAAAATATAAACGGACTTATAAAAAATAAACTTATTATACGTGATAGAGCCATGCTGCAGCTATATTAGTAGTATAGTTGTAGCACGAATCGGTCGACTCGACCGGGGAAGAACCACGCTCTTGCAGAATACCAGCGTAAAATAGCAGCTTAACACTGCTGTGTTTCGTATGGTGAGTGTAGAGAACCGGAGAACCTGTTTACTGGAAATGAGGCATTCCATCTTAATCCTCACGGGTGACAACGCATCAAAATTTTGATTTAGAATAGAGGATAGATATAGATGTCTATGGGCCGCAGCAACCACTTACTATCAGGTGGACTGTATGATCGTTTGTCACCCTATCCTATAAAAAAAAGTTTAAACCTTAGATTACAGTTATTTCTATGGTCTATTATTTTCATTGAATACAACTTCAGTTTTAATTTTTAAAATTACTGGTTTATTTTTAAATTCTTTAGTATAAACACTCTTCTTTAATAGAAGAAAAAAAGAGTTCGTGGTATTAGTTACATTCTTGTCTTTCATCCGTGATAATTCGTAGTACTATGTTTTACTAACTGTTTGCTGTTCGCATTTCGCTGTGTCTACTTATTTCAATCGTATAATATAGTATTAGTAACTATTCACTAGTTGTTAATTTTGCGTAGTCTCTTTCTATTCACGCAATTTATATTTGAATTTAAACTTGGTTTGACCCTTTGGTATTTGGCAGGCAAGTTTATTATGTTGGGATTATGTTGAACGCAACGACCTTTATGAAATTATTATAGTATGAAATTGCTTCCAGTAAGAAGTTTCAAATTAAAACTAAAATATTATTTTATACATTTTATTCAAAATTTTATATTATTTTATTCAAATTTTAGAGTAATTCTTCAACTTATTTCTTTAAAACCATTAGAGTGACAATTTCTCTAACAGTTCACTTGACATTAAGCAACTACTGCAAACGATGAACACCTGCTGTCAACTTTAAACAATGGATGCTGCAGATGCTTTCTCAGCTCTGAGAAGTAAATTCGAACGTTGTACAACCTATAACTGTAGAGCACATCCTTCAAACTTTGACACAAGTACGGATATACCACAGCTCAGCTAGATAAGACAGTACCTACCCAGTAGTACTTCTAAACGTAAAACGAACTTTCTGGTGATTTACGTACCTTTACATAAAATTATGTTAAAAGTTAAATTACTATTATCACGTACTCACTACTATAATAATTTTAATATTGTGTTAATGCCAATTTATTAACTACTATCATTGACTTCGCCCAAATCGAAATTATAAATGTTTCAATCATATTATTTTTAACAGGTTGTCCTATGCTTTGTACATTATGTAATCAGATAATGGTTACATATTTTGTTTACGTTAACATTTTATTGCGTTTACAATAACTTTTTCTGATGTTATTTTTTATTCAAATAAAGTTTGACCTGAGCCTCCGGTTCTTGTCACTTACGTATAATATGTTTGCATTTGGTTTAGAACAATATTATTCATGATATTTTACGTGGTTGAAGTCGTTAATTAAAATTTTATCTTGATTAGATAAAGGGTCAAATCAATGGATTTTTTTTAAATTATTTTAACAAGCCGATTGAAATCAATTTGGCACCCGAGTTTAGTTAAATAAAAAAGTTATAACTAAAATAGGAAATAAACTTTTCCAGTTTTAAAGATTGGCAACATACCTGCAATTCCCCTGGTGTTGAAGTAGTTTTTATGTGGCGGTAGTCACTTACCAGCTGGTGAGCCGCATGCTCGTTTGCCCCTCTTACATAATTAGAAATAGTCAAACTATGACATACATAATATATACATAAACACTCACGCCTGTCACCCAGAGGGGTAGGTAGAGATTATGGACTTCCATTTGGCACGATCCTGACACACCTCTCTCGCTTCCTCCACATCCATATACCTACGCATACACGCTCGTCGGTTAAAGGTACTCTTGATTTGGCCCATTTTTAATATATCGCCAATTTGGTCGATAAACTTTCGCCTAGGGCGACCCTTCCCGACTATGCCGTTCACCTCTGCAACATAAATTTGCTTTGTCACTCTTTCCTCATTCATTCTTTCTACATGGCCAAACCACCGAAGCATTCCTTTCTGAATCCTGGTCACAAAATCATCTTGCAAACCACACTCTTCTCTTATTAAACAACTTCTCACTCTGTCATTCAGCTTCATCCCTAACATACTCCTTAATGACCGCATTTCTACAGCATTTATTCTACTCTCATGCTTCTTCTGCCACACCCAACTTTCACTACCATACATTAAAGTAGGTACTAACACAGCATTGTGAATTGCCATACGTGCCTTTTTGGACACATTGGCTTCCCGTGGTTGTTCAACTATTACATAATTAAAAAATGACATTTCCATCAAATTAATTGCGAACCGTTTAGTGATGGTGTAAGAATATCCACTGGACGGCGTTGGAGGCGTACTGATAACAACTCAAAATAATAAAATCCATAAAAGTTGTTTCATTCCATGTGTAGTGTTTGCGTAGCTATACGAAATCATCAAGTTATCACTGATAAATACATTCAACTCCTTAAATTTTCATTTATTTAAATAATCCTGTTTACTTTAAATGGGTCATCATCAACAAAATTTGGGACATGGTTAATACTCAAGCATATTTTACTATCGATTTCATGTTTCCTGTAGAATTGTCTTAGCGTGCTAATTCAGAATTCTTCTCTCTTATCAATATGTTTGACATTGCCGTCGCTTATTACACAAAACGATTACATGATTCAGAGCACGACCTCGCCGATCGTAGAAGGATGAACTTGTGACATAAAATCCTACATTATTTATGAAACTTTGTCACAGAAGGCTTTAAAAAGGTGAAACGAAAAAGATATATATACCTAATTTCAAAAACTAAGAAATCTGTCATTTTTGTTACATCATCTGTTAAATAATGGAAAAATAATTTTAAATTCCTGAATTGTGGTTATTTGAAAATATATATTTCATATTTAAGCTTTATATCAATAGTTTTTTTTTAATTAAGGGTGATAAATAAGGGCATAATACACCTGATGCTAAACAGATGCTTCGGACTATTCAGCTTACAGCTATCGTTAATTAACAATCAAAATGCAGATGCGTTGTCAACCCCGAGGATTATATTGGGATGCCTCGTTAACATTAAATGGGTTTCCCGTTCTCCTCACTCACCATATGAAATACACCAGCATTAGGTTGTTGAACTGATATGTTTTTCATAATGTGTTTTATAGAATAAATTAATGCGAACAATGGATAAAATATTTATTTGTTTTATTCGGAACATACACAGCATTGATATTTTATTTAAAAAAATTGTAATCGACATATCTATTAAAGAGTATTCGCATATGGAAAAAAATATTCACATCTATACTAATCTATACTAATATAATATAATAAAGCGGAAGAGCTTTTTTGTTTTTTTGTTTGTTTAAACGCGCTAATCTCTGGAACTACCAGTCCGATTTGAAAAACTCTTTTTGTATATTATAGCCAGATTCATGGAATAATATAGGCTATCCTATATTACTCAGCTAGCCTTAAATATGGATATTTGTTAAGCAAGTCAGAAGAAAAAGCACTCCCGAAATTATTTATCCGCGTACGCTGGTGTTATCGTTAGTGATACGTAAATACAATGTTCTAGAAAAATATAGACCTTTACTCCGTCTAAAAAAAGTCCGCGATACCATATGTCTATTTCTTATACAAAAGCCATAATTTGGTATTTTGTGACAAAAAAATATTGAAAATTTAAAAGTGATTTATGAGCGTTATTATTAGGCATGGCCTATTTATCCTTACGAACGCAAGTTACTTCATCATCAAGACAATTTTATGAAGATAAACTTTGTTCTTTATACCATGTTATTTGGACACATAGTTTAAGAGATAATGTAAAATTAAAATAATACAATACCTGGCTGGGCGCGCGAACGATTCTTAAACCCCAGCCGTTATAAAATGCTTGAACTAGGTCATGTCGCGCAACTCGGACACGTGATGACGCGGGTGAAACCGCGGGGCACAGCTAGTAAGGAAATAAATTTATTAAATTTAAAAAAAATATTGAATATTTGAATTTCCGAAAATCAACATAATATCTATCTTGATGGTCCACAGAGTATTTAAAATTATACGTGTACGTTCATACGTTAGTATGTTGTTAACGATATTGACTTAGTTTAACAGAAGCCTATTGACTCTTGCCTAGAAAATAAACATTGTAATAGTATAGAAAGACAGATGCTGACAAATTATTCTATCCATGGCTGTGCACAATACCTATTATGAATTAGTTTAATTTAAATTGATTCTTTTGTTTTTTTTTTTGTTATACATAATGTATGGAAACTTATGAAGAGCCACCATATAAGAATTTGATTGTGAAAGCAAATGAAACTGCATCCAAACTCATTATTTTTTATATTTCAGTATGCAAATTTATGGAAAAATAAGGTAAATGGAGTTATTAAAGAGGAGCCAGAGAAGAAAACGGAATCGCGCTTGAAACACCAATTGGTAGCAGGGCTTCATAACGTGAAGCCTATGTTCCGGAGACCGCTGGTGTTTTATTTGTTCATTATTTCTGCAATGAATTTTTTAAGCATGGCATTGTAAGTATATTTCAATGGCGTTAAAGTATATTTGTAATTATTTTAATAAAAACTTTAATTAATAGAAAACAACATTATCTTTAAAGTTATGCAACCTAATAAGTAAGTTAAATTAAATGTGTAAGAAAACAAAACTATACTCCACAACTAACTAGAAAACAAATTTGGAACGCACATCTATAAAATTAGGAAGAAAAATATTATTCTAACTTACACTATCCTGTGAGTGTCGTAAGCTCTTAAGAGCCGATAATGTCGTAAAAATCTTATAGCTTACGATAGATGGCGGCATAACCAATTCATTTACGTCAGACGTAAAGCACCCATACCGGAGACGGGCAGCAGAGTTAGTTGTGCGAGATGTCTGGCAGTGCGATCGTCGATCCATCTGCCAAGCTCGCAGTGGATTTTATGGGCCGATATAATAGGTATTTACCTATGAAATTGCCGCTCTGCAGTACTGGCCATTTTAAATCAAAATAATTTTTGTTTGGATAAGAATTCTAATTTCAAATTAATTTTATTTTAAAAACATGGATTTTTTTAAATAAACGTTAATTCAATACCCGAGAGACAGTACAAAATACAGTTGAAAAAATAGTTGCCCCCCGTCTAGCTGATTTCAATAAGGGCATCGATTGCGGGTGATTACATTAATTAATAAATATAAAAAAATATAGAAAAAATTACGTTAACTTATTTCATAGAAAAACGGTAATTTCCGTAGGTGAAGTACTAGTAGAAGACAAAGAAGATACACTTTATTTGTAGCGACAAGAAACGTTTAGTAAAATCTAGTAGGAATATGTAAGTTTCTTGGAAATAAAATTAATTAAGTATATACATTTGTTTCTAAATATAATAAAGTCACGACTTTGTCATAGTATGTTTAACGATTGATAATTGTTTGATAAAGACTCAGCTGAGCATGTTTATTTGTACTAAAATTATGTTTTAAGATAAGTATGATGATATTTAGAGTAGAAACCTTTTATGATAATATTTTGTTTTGAAGGGACTATTAATGCGTAGAACTGTTTAGCAATATAGCAGCGCAAGAGAATCAAACACACAATGTCTTTCTGTAGATGGCGTAAGAGACGAAAGAGAAAAAACTGAAATGGTAGATGGGCAGTAGCATCTTCCTTATAACAACTGAATAATAACAATAGACTGTTGTTTTCCACTTGTCAGCCAAGCGTAGGATCTATGAAAAATATCCCCGCCTCAAAAGCAATCTATGTGAGAGGCCAGTGTTCTACCTTTCCGTTACTAAGGTGTAGATTTGATGGGATGTAATGAATGAAAAATCCTATAAAAGGAATACTATTTTGCATTATACTATATAATACAATGTATTATATTTATATATAAAAATTACGTGTCACACTGTGTGTCCACGATGAACTACTAAACTATTGAACTGAGTTCAATGAAATTTTGCACACTGTGTGCAGTTTGGTCCAACTTGAGAGATAGGATAGTTTTTATCCCGATAAGTGTCAATTTTTTTCGTCGTAAAGGGCAGAACAACGTCTGCCTGGCCAGTTAGTATAATAAAAGTAGTATTTGAGATATCTAGCGGTACGGTATCTAAGAATCATTAGTGCAATTCGCCAAATTTGTTTTCTCTATCACACTGATTGACAGACGAAACTCAGTTGATAAATTAATGACGCAACATTCATCCTAACTTAAATTCTTAAATTAACTTAAGAGACTGTTAATAATATCTATGCCATCTAACTCCAAGCATTGCGGTTACCTGCCAAGATTACAGAGCGGTGCGTAGCATAGGTTTTAATGAGCCTAGTGTCAACTCGTTAATAAAAATTGATACACTACCAATTAATAGGCAGATAATATAAGTGTGTGATTGTGGCATCATAAGAGAAGATTATGGGAAATAACTGAAAAATATTATGAATTTTTATAGAATAATGGTGAGCAGCGAGCACACAGTCCACCAGATGGTAAGTGTATATTGTGACCTATAGTCATCTTCATCTATCCTCAATTAAGCATCAAAATGCAGATGCGTTGTCAGAAGACTAAGATGCAATACTTCGCTACCAGTGAAAAACTTTTTCGGTTTTCTACACTAATCATACGAAACACAGCATTATTGCGCTGTTTTACGCTGGTATTCTATGGGAGTGTGGTCTTACCCCGAATAGGTCGAGGCGATCCGTTCGAACTGCAGCCATAATATAGCTGCAGTATGGCTCCACCACGTAAAAGTTCCAATAGACAGAAAATATCTGGAAAACTCTGGTACTTTGATTGTAAATCGGTATTGCCAAGCGTGACGAGAAAAGCAAAAACTCTCTACAAGGGGAGAGGTCCATGTTCAGAATTAAAATTTTACGGGCTGATGAAGAAGGCTTTTTGGCCCAATGAGAATGCGCATCTTTTTTTTTCAAATCTGCTACGCAAGGTCCTTGTGTTACGGAGCCGTTTTACGTAATATATAAATTGTCTATAGAAATCCATTTAAACCGGATACATTTGTGGGCGTAACTAAACACTTATTAGATGCAGGATCCGAACCCGTGAACTTGCTGCGTCACAGCAAAATGCTTTGCCACTGCGCTATCGAGCCGCCAAAAAAATTACACATAATATTATCAATAAAAGTTAAATCGTAATCCAAATGTCTTTACCTGAATTTTCTGTTTAAACAGATTCAATAGCGCCGATCGTTCCATACGATATGCATATTTAACAGAAAATAAATTCTCCAGTGAACCGAAATAACATTTGCGATCCGTGCAATTAAACTTCGACCGCAAAATATCGAATGTTAAACACTCTTTTTCCAGGTATAACGTAATAAGGCTGTGGTTCCCGCAACTGTCAAGCATTGTGGAACATTACAGTAGTATTGATAGTAATCAAGATTTATGTACAATGTTGGATACATACACCAATGACTTGAAGTTAAGAAACACCAATGTTACAACATTAGATGTTTGCATACCTGTAAGTTTATATGTCGCTTAATACTGTCGCTTTATTTTTTTTAAATGTCCTTAATCAGTGCTTGACCACTATCCTACGTAACGGTAAGGGATGCAACCAAAGAAGGTAAAGTGCACTGACGTAGCTGAACAAAAGCCTATTAATTTTGTCTTGAAAACACTCACATTGTAATCGGATGAAAACACTAATGTAGAGACCACGTAGTGGCGGTGTAAGAATATCCACTACTCTATGTCATCCCGTGAGTATCGTAAGAGGCGACAGAATGATCCAAACAAGTAAATGGGCAGCAGCGCAATTAAATACCTAAAAATAGTAACTAAAAAATAAAGTACTGTGGTTGTCAACTCACTTGCCAAACTGTGGCAAAATATCTCCTCTATGAGGCAATATGGGGGAGGCCTATGTTCAAGGGAATTTTGATAGGCTGTAACGATAAGGCAAACGCAGATGATGGCAGCTTATTTCACTCCTTTATTGTACGCAGATGAGAACGTTGATTAGAATATTTTAAACTGATGAATTCAATATTTTACATACAATGAACGGCATTGTATAGATGCTACAGCAGCTATAGTATAGCTCATAGATACATATATACGTTACTTATTAAAGGTCATTTCCTTCATCATAAAATATTAAAGTTTATACTGCTATTTGACAATAATATTCCGTGACAGCATGGTCTTTCCGCAAATTCATGTTCTACCCATAATACAGGTGTAGCATAACTTTACTACATTGTAATGTATACAAGCAACCAAACATCGCAACATTATTCATCATCATCATTACATCCACTGGTGAACATATATATGCCACAATTATGGGTCTTAATGACTTGTACCATCGAGTTACTGCATGTTTTACCAGATCTTAACTCCATATAGTGGAGATGCGAACGTTTGTGAAAATATATTTTTATAGAGTAAGAGTGACAAACGTGAACACAGTCCACCTGATGGTAAGTGGTTGCTGTGACCCATAGACATCTACATCGATCCTCGTTTACAAATCAAAATGTAGATGCGTTGTCCCGTGAGGACTAAGATGAAATGCCTCGTTTCCAGTATAAAGGGTCTCCGGTTCTCTACACTCACCATACAAAACACAGCAGCTTAAAGCTGTTATTTCACGCTGGTATTCAATTATTAGTTATAAATTATGAAGCCTTTTTATTAAAGATCCGAGATGTTTAAATATTCATTTATAGCCATAAGTTCATATTAAAAATATTTTCGTGGAAAAGTTTTATAAACTAATGTAGAAAACTGATAAATGGTTTTCAATACACCGAAGTTTTGTGAAACATTCGATTTGCAATACATGAACAGATTAGCGTGTTCTTGAGCCATTATGTAAAATACATTGCCTAAGGCTGGCTTCTCATGCCAATAAATAAAGCTAACCAGAATGTAACCACACGAATTATGGTATTTGATTACGTTCTATGCAAATTCGTAACTCACTTCTTTCATAATTGTATGAATAAACTTTTGAGCTTACGAGTACCTTACAGACGTACTTGTGTACGTCTGTAAGGTAAGCTGCAATGTTTAATGGCGATGACATACGTAAGTGACATACGTAATACACTACGTGCGTGCGAGGTAATATTTAAGTTGCCTCACAATCACGGAATGATTGCTGGCTGCTTAAAATATTTGCATTGAATTTTTTTTTTTCATAAATAGGCACTTACTTTTTTTGATGAACGTATTATTTGCTGTATCGTGGTGGCGTTATTGAATCCATCAACTTTTACCATACTGCTTCGTGAATACCGATAGGCGACTACGGGAAAAATCAGCAAGACCTTATGGTCCCCTATAGATGGTGATTATGGTTAGGTAATATTAGCTTTTAAAAAAATCACAGAAATTGTTTACTTAAGAAATCTTAGTAAATCAATATACAGAATGTACGATGATTAACAGATTACCTTAAAATGACTCACGGCAGAACTTATGGCCAATCAGAAAAAAATATACACGCAAACGAGCTTAAGCAACAAATAAAAGTATTGAAATTTATCAGTTGCAAGTACGATTAACAAAAATAACATTATGTTAAAAGCCACGCTAATAAATAAATAAAGTAACATTGATTGTGTAGTTTTGTCCGAATAGTTGCCTACCCGCTTGCCAAGCGTGGCAACTATGGCAAATATAAGTCAATCTATGAGAAATCTATTATCAACAGTGGACTTTAGATAGGCTGAAATGGTAGAATGTTTGGATGAGTAGTTAACTTCTAGACTTAGTCATAGGATATTTGTTCTATTATAAGGAAATATTGGCTATAGTCGCCACGCTCAGTATGCGAATAGTTGCAGTTTTTTTTATCATTTTGAGTTGTTACCAGGAAGATGCTACGGCCCTTCTCCTATTTTATTTCTCTCTTGTACCTCATACAACAACCATGGGATGATATGAAGTAATGGATTCTGTTAAGCCGCCAGTATACAGCATCATAATTGGAGTTGCATCGATATTTTCTATAATAATTACATTACATATTGTCTTCGGCTAGGAAGCACACTTAGCGTTCTGTTTATTTTTATATCGTCGAGAAACGTGATACTATTTCTCGCGTAATGTCATTAAGGTGCATCAAAGAAATAACAGAGGTAAACAATAACGATTGAAGCTTCAAGAATTTAAAAAGTATATATATTTATATACCGTTACCGTATCGTAACAGCCTTTTGAATTCCTCTGATAGATTGCCTCATAGGGGGGTGTTTGCCATAGTTGGCACGGTTGGCAAGCGGGTTGGCAACCGCAGTTTTTATTTTTATTTTTAGTCGTTATTAAGAGGATGCTGGTGCCCTTCTCCTAATTTATTATCGCCTCTTACGACACCCACGGGATCATATGGGGTAGTAGATATTCTAACACAACCACTACACGGATTATATATATACATATATATTGGCACAGACACAAGAGGGTGCTTAATCAAGAATCCGCAGCGCTACCTGACTGCGTTGGCAGACTTTATATTCTTGAAATATTTTTATTTTCTCAGACATGCATTTCGCGCGATGCTTTCCTTCACAGCACGGGGTAGTCAGCACATAATTGTGTAAAATTGCAATTGCCACTATTGTCCACTTACTAGGTGATAGGGCTTCTTTTCTGCCTAGTTCGTCTGAGGACGTACCAACCTCTTTCCTGTTTCTGCAGCAGTGCGTGAACTGATGTGTTTCGGCCTGAAAGGTACAGAGTAGAGCAGGTACAGAGCCGGTAATTACAGGCTGCGAGGCATTCCATTTTGTCATAAGAGGTGACAACGCATTTGTAGTTTTCTTATTTATGGTTTAAGACATTATATATATATTTTAAATAAAAGATTTATTTTTAGACATTTTATTTTTCTGAGGAATACAAGATAGCTTAGTGTTAAATGCATATCAGTAACAAATTTCGGTACGACATGTTTCTTGATACGTCATTAAATTATTACAGTAGCAACTTACCATCAGGTGGACGTAATACATTCACTTGTGTTTTATTACAAACTTTGGTCACTTGTGTATATTTATATTTACTTTAACTTTAACCTGATCCTGTATTGCACAGACAAAACTTTCGGAGTCCCCAAAGGGGTCACCGAATCGTAGCCACTTGAGGGATGCAACTCTATCTACGTAAGGCTCAGCCTTGTACAACCTCCCGTGGTGCTCTTTCTTGTTGGCTAAGGATTTAAGTTGGAAGAGGGGTAAGCCCTTTATCACAAGAAATGATTTTCTTATAGAATATATCATTCGATCTCGTCAGGAAGTAATTACGGAGGCTGCATACTTCGCGATTATGCATGGTGAGCGCGCTTAAAAAGCCACGCCCACCATGCGTTCGCGGCAAGTACAGCCTCATTACCGACGATCTCGGATGATGCATTATATGGAACGTCATGGTAGTGCGGACTTTTCAATCCAGGGCGTTAATTTCAGTGTGAGTCCACCTGAATAAGTTAAAGGTGTAATGCATTAGGATTGTTATTATTATTAAAAATTCCTAATTTTTTTATAATTTTTTTTCAGACAAGAAGTGGTAATGAAACATATATGAACAGTATTATTTTAGGCTTTGTTTGCATTATCCCATTCGCAGTGAGCGGTATTCTAGTTAACAAAGTCGGCAAAAGGAATTTATACGTAGCAGCTGCAGCCATATGTGTTGGTGTAACGTTGGGAATAAGATGGGCCAACTCAAAAGTTGCTGTTGTTGCGTTATTTTCTGTAGATGCCGCTATTTCTCAAACCATGGTTGGACTATACCAAGCGTTCACAATGGAATTGTTTCCGACGACAACAAGGTTGGTTTGTAAATAAGGTTTTAAGTAATTTTATCAACATAACATACATAAACCCTGCAGGCACCTTTTTCTTCATTACAGCCTATTACAAGTCCACTGCTGAAAACAGGCCTCTCGTCATAAATTGCCTTATAGGGGAATATTTACCACAGAAAGATGCTGTTGCCCATGATAAAAGGCAACGGAGAAAAACTACCATACTTTTTCTCCGTTGCCTTTTATGAAATCTCCGGAATATGGAATAGTAGATTCACTTACTACTAATACAATAGTTGTCTTGCAACGCAATCCCAGTAAGGATTGCTTGAAACCAAACTGTGGTGGCGCCTAAGTTGTACAATAATGACTAGAACAATTTTCATTCATTAATTACAACCTAACAAAAATCCACTGATAAACATAGACCTCCCGCATGGATATTCTCTATAGTTCCCAAGCTCACCAGGCGGGTTGACAACTGCAGTTTTCTGTTTCATTTTCCTCTACGGCCTCTCAGATACCCACGGTTCAGATTATACAGTGGATTCTCTTAGGCCGTCACTATACGGTGAGTAGTGCCGGCGTCCGATTTACACAAATTGATCTTAGTCGATTTGTCACATATTATGCCATATTATAACGTCAGCATGAATAACTAGATATGTCAGTCAAAAACTAGGCATCAAAAACTTTCGACCCAAAGAAATAATAATAAAAATGGCCAGGCCATAAATATTGTCATAAATTAAGAAAAGTTTTTTTTTTCTGAATTGAAATTCGGTATATATTTTATAAGTATCAAACTTCGATTGATTAGTCGACAATTCACATTTTATTTCTTTACTGTGATTTTAACATTGCGTTACGGAGTTTAATTATACTGCTCTTACATTAATGTGGGCTACTCCACACTACAGCGTATAGCATTAGATTTTTTGTTTTACTAATATTTTACTTGTCAAATTTCAGGTTTCTGAACTGAAGTAATTAAGACTAAATATGCACATAATAATTACTCTTAAGAATCACCCTCATCGTCAAGACTTAAACATGTGACTATCATAGTCACAATAAGTATCAATTAGACCTGATTTTTATATCCACCAATGTTTTTTTTTTTTTGCAGGACGTTAGCTATTTCCGTTATCATGACCTCTGGCAGAATCGGTACGCTTGCAGGGAATGTAGCCTTTCCTATATTACTGGATATGGGATGCGTCGTACCCTTTTATACATTAACTGCTGTGATGATTTGTAAGGAATATAATTTTGTATATTTTACCCACTATGTATTTATTTCTATAATTAAAACTATGAAAAATTTAGAAAGGAAAAGTACCCCTGGTGCTAAGTGGTCTCTGCAGCTAATGGATTTATATAAAATAAAAGTGACAAATTAATTAACAGTCTACCTGATGATAACTGGCCACTGAGGCTCACATAAATCTGCAAAAAAACTTGAAAACTAAATAGGCCACAGATGCCACCACTTTATGTTTGCGTGTAAATTATCAGTATATTGTTATAAGGTATTAAATGATAGTCTCATAGATGACGACTATTATCAAGACTACAGATGCATACATAGACTTCTTTATTTACAGTACATACGCTAATGCAATGAGATCGAATAAAATTCCATTGAATACGGCGCTGCAGGCCACAGACTCGAATCGATAGCTAGCCTACAAATAATTGTTCCCGGTCTAGATGTTCGTTCATTCATTTTATTATTATTATTCATTACAGTCCTTCACAAGTCCACTCCACTGCTGGGCACAGTAAGACCTTTCCTAAGGAATGACACAAAACACAGTCCTGTGTTACTTTACCAGGTCGTCACTCTATCTGGTGCGGGCCGCCCTACACTTCTCCTACGGGTACGAGGCTGCCACTCAAGAACCTTGCTTACTCTTCAGTTGTCGATTGTTCGAGCTATGTGGCCGGCCCATTGGCATCCTGTGCAATTTATTTATAGAAAATGCCTACCCGATACACAGAAGATAACCTAGAGTGGGTATAAATTAACGTGAATCATCCACACTCTATAGCTGGGTTCCGAAGCCAGGATCTGTAATTCAGTTATTAGACTACCAAGTCACTAATAAATAAATTTTAACAGATCAAATGACTAATCGACGCTATATTCTATCACACAAAACAGTTGTTGAAGTCAAGCTTCATACAAGGCAATGCTTTGTAGATATTCGATCAAGAGAGGGCTGTAAAAAAGACCTGTCTAACCGCAAGCAAACTATTCTTTGATATTGATGTATCTCCATCGAGTTATTTATTTTTACAAATTCCAATTCATTATTTTCAGGTGTGACGTTTATGGCAGTGTTCCTGCCAAATTCTTGAAGTCTTTTTCATAATAAGTATTGTAAGTAAGTATGGTTTAAATATTAATAAATGATTGACTTTAATTTAAAAGAATGTTGATTTATTTAAAAATAATAGATTATATTTGCTAACAAATTATTGAACTAAGAAATCTCTATTTTTCTTTAAGAAATTTTATTGTTTACAAATCAGACAAGTGATAAAAAAATGTACAACCGACTTCAATATAAATAAAACGAGTACATCATCAATATAGTCGAAGTCCATTAAATACGCATTATTAAGGATAACTCAAAAACTACTGGTTAGATCTTGATTAAATTATATATCAGACCACACGACTAGCACCGCTTTCATATAAAAAAAGAATCATTAAAATCGGTCTACCTAGGAAAAAGTTCTGTGGTATCACACATAAAAAATACACCCTTTTTGAAGTCGGTTTATTAAATGCTAATAAAACATATTTGGGTTCATTACACACACACTATTACCACATAACACAATTACTCTCTACCGAGAGGTTCCTTGGTATAAACGATATTTTTTTCTGCTGTCATATATTGTTCGTACATCCCCTCAGCACACCCCAATCATATACTTTCTGTATTCTAAATGGTGTCTACTTGATATACAATAAGTACGAGTGATGGACTCTTTTGAGAATAATTTAATATCTAAATTACTTTTGGAACTTAACATTATAATTAGGAATATTTTTCATTCGCGTGATCACATTACATAAATATTACACATTAGTCGCTCTCTGCCGATGTGTCGATAATGTATTGATACTATAGGAAGTATTAGGCTTAATTATAACTTTTAAAAAATACCGAAAACTTACTTTAAACTGCTAAAAAAGAAGTTATTTATTTGCTACCTTTAGTGGTGGAATTTTTCCTCCTAATTTATTTGGAACCACCATTCAAGTATAACCTATTTAATAAAAAAGAATCATCAAAATTGGCTTACAATCTGCGAAGATATTGCGTGACATACATACAAAACTTATATTTTGACGTGGTAGAGCCATGCTGCTATATTACTGGTATAGTTGTAGCACGAATGAATCGGCTCGACCGGGGAAGGACCACGCTCTCATAGTACGAGTATACCAGCGTGAAATAGTAGCTTAAACCGGAGATCCTGACTGACGAAGACGAGGCATTAAATCTTAGTTCTCACGGGTTAGAACGCATCTGAATTTGATTCGTAATCGAGGATAGATGTAGATGTCTATGGGCCACAGCAACCACTTACCATCAGGTGGACTGTGTGGCCGTTTTCACCCTTAACCTATTAAAAAAAACCCACATAAACTCGAATTGAAAACCTCCTCCTGATTGAATAAGGAGGAGGTTCTCAATTGGAACATTTTTTTGTTTTAAGTGCTTTATTTTATTATATTTCTTCGACTGGTAACGTTGGTAAAATAAACTTCTTTAACTAATCTAAGCTATATAGCTTATATGGCCCACCTATTACCACTTCAGTTTACTGATCCAAACTGAATTACAAATAATAATTTAAATATTTTATTAAAAATTAATAATATTAATTAATAAAGAAAAGATAAATATATTGTTCTTTCAGAATTTGTTTTCGTTCCAATACATAGTCGCCGGGGCATAAGATCGAGATTAAAATGTGATGTTACACTATTAAATATGTTGAAGAGATTCCTAAATATCAGTTCAACTATATTGATTGATATTTAACGCATATTCAACGTAATGTTGTTCCATGGGCAGTTTTGAGGAATCTCCTTCACGACACGAAATATTAAGTTCGTCGTCAGAACCGTTTAAATAAATAAATCATATAAAATAAAAAGTTATTAAGTTGTCAAAGTTTTATTTTAAATAAAGTGACTTTGCTTTATGATCGAAATAATTTTATATAAATATTGAATAAAAATAAAATGCCAATCTACAAACATTTTCCGCTGTTTGTTATTATATTTATTATTATTTTTAGATGATTACGTATTAGTTTACTTACAATCGTCATCGTTATTATCATTGTCGCCATCTGTATTATTTTTATAGTGTATTAATTTTACCGTGAAAGCAAAATTATTAAATAATAGGCTTATATTTGAATATAGAGCAATGTCAGTCTTTAAATTGCGTACGTATTATCTTGTTCTATTGTCGTAGAGAAACCGGAAATGTTCCACGACGGACAGAAATGGAGTCGGAATATGGTTTTGACATTGGAAGATAACAAGCTTTTTGCTGTTAAAGGGGCAAAGTTTAGAATTTTTCTACTACATAAATTGTATTAATACTTAATTAATTTTACGTGTTTGTACTACACCATATTTAAATTGGCTAATTAACGTTTTAAACATTTTAAGCTATTTTACAAAGCTCTTTTTTATGGGAGTGGAGGCAAACGAGCATGCAGCTCACCTGATGGTAAGTGACTACCGCCGCTCATGAACAACTGCAACACCAGGGGAACCAGGGGAATCGCAGATGCGTTGCCGGCCTTTAAGAAGAAAGTTACGTAAAAAGAAAAAAATCATGTTTATAATTTTGTGCTGTGATTTCTCAGGGGTTTCTTTTTTGGGTTTAAGTTTATGTATAATACGCAAATAACCCTTTCTGATGCAATATTTGGGCCACAGCATTCACAACTTACCATGTGTGCCAGTCAACGTTTACTTCTATAACAAAAATTAGATAAATTAAAAAATGCTGTTGCCCATTCATTGAATGCCTTGCGACTGTTCAAAAGTAAAAATATTATCAAATTCGTGGTTATATGTAGTATAATATTATATACATATAGGTAGTTTGATATGTAATGGGAAATTAGTGACCTTTTTTCTATAAATGTCTTCGCAGATCACTGGTTGATGGATAAGACTTTACCGACTGAGCGGTGGTTAACGTTTCATCTAAAATTTTGTACCCAAATCCCAAATTGACCTAAATCTTGACTAACTTTTATAATTCAAATAAAGTATACAAACCGGAGCGCTTGAGATTCTCACTTTGGACTTAAAATTTATTTTGCGAGTGTTGTTACATGGAGCAACTCCATCATGGTTGATTATAGGTTATAATTTCATCATAACCTTTCAAAAGTCTCCTTCATAGACTTCCGCGTAGGGGGTATTTTTCTTAGGGTTGCTAACCACGGGTTTAATTACTATTTTGTTGTTAACAGCACGATGCTCCTGCGTCTCTTGCTTCGGTCTCTCCCTAATTATGTTTAAAAGGTTCCCTAATCACGTTTAAAAGTACAAACTGTACCGGTAAGCGAAATGTAGGGCAGCCACCCACTTTATGGAGTGGAGAGCACAAAACAAGACGGCTCCGTGGCGCAGTGACTTAGCAATTGAGCCGCAGCGCTACAGTCCGCGGGCTCGAATCCCTACAAATAATTGTTTCGGGCCTGGATGTTTGTCATTGTGCAATTTGTGTTTACAAACAGCCTCCACGATACAGGAGAAAATTCGTGTGAAGGTTAGATTGTTTAAAGAACAAAAATCGAAGATAAATTATTTGGAGTGACGACCTGGTAAGACATGCAGGTAGCCGATAGATGCAGGTGGCAAAAGACCATGAAGCAAATATTTTATATTTTGTATTTGCCTCATGCAAAAGACCGGGCATTCCTTGGGGGAGGCCTGTGTTCAGCAGTGCACTTGTAAAGGGTTGTAATGATGATAATGATGATGTATAAAATTGTCTCGCTAGCTCCTTGCAGCTTTTCAAAGGTAAGAGATGTTTCGGCACCAGTAAGTAGTAAAAGCACAAACTACTTTAAATTAGTATTCTTGTTATACATATTGAATAAAAATTATTATTGTTGTTATTTTTTTCTATTTAGTATCTTACGAAACTCTCGGTTTAACTTGGGGACAACCTTGCTGGATCGTTAAAGACACACCACGGCAAGATCGTAGGATTAACACAGGTGTTTTAGTTTTGCCAAATAGCAGTGATTGCCATAATTACAGTCTGTAATTACACTTGTCACTATAATTAATAATGTAATTATACTGACAAGTGTAATTACAGTCAATTACACTTGTCAGTATAATTAATCAGTATAATTAATAATGTAATTATACTGACAAGTGTAATTACAGTCAATTCATGTCAGTATAGTTACAGACTGTAAGGCATTCCATCTTAATCCTCAGAAGTGATGATACAACTGTGGCCTTCGTTGTATCAATTTGATTGCAGTGGATACTTACCATCAGGCGGACTGTAGTTTCATTTGCCACGTCAGTTTTAAAACGAAAAGGAAAACTCTTACGCCATCATCAGGGTATTATTAGTTGCATGAATTAAATAAGGTAGGTTAAAATATGTGTATATAGTTAAAATTCATTAATTGCAATATTTTTGCATAATTTTACTCGACATATCAGAAGAGGACAGATGGTGTTGATAACGTCATTCTGTAGGAAAATTTAAAATACAAAATTATATTGTTCGTCTAAAAATTATAGTACCTTTTTCAAATATTTTGTTGACCAATTATGCGATTAACATAGTCGAGCAACTTTATGCCCAGTGAACAGTTTAACGAGTGACCGACTTAGGATCTTTTAATTACGAGCTCCATAATTCGAAAGGACGTTAATGCGCTACTAAATTATTCTAAGTGTAGCCTTTATTCATTTCCTCTACATGAAATAAATAAATTATGAGTACTGTATATTATTTACCATGTAGTGGCGGTGTAAGAATATCCACTACCCCATATCATCCCGTGGGTGTCGTAATAGACAGAAGGAAACATACCAAGTTATGGGCAGCAGCGTCTTCCTAGTAACGACTAAAAACAAAAAATGTGGTTGCCAACCCACTTGTACAGCGAGGCAACTATAGCAAATATCCCCCCTATGAAGTAATCTATTGGGGAGGAATATGTTTAGCAGTGGACTTTAATAAGCTATAACGGTAACGGTGTGAAAGAATGTAGTCTAATATAATAAATAATAATAATGTCCTCCAGACCAAATTTCGGTCATGGCTGCCAGACATAAT